CAACAAATTCGCCTGCTTTTTTTTCTTACTTTGTTATTTCGCATTACATTCACTCATTACTTCTTAGCTTAATTTGAATCTAAATTCTATAGTGTAGTAGCTTACTCTTTTGGGATTCGATAACCCTTCGTGCTACAACTGCATTGTTATGCACTTGCAGTAGTAATATAATTGGGTAAAACTTAGACCCTCTCAAGTTTTTGGAGCCGTTGTCGGGGAGTAATAGCTGCCTATAGTTTTTTAGAATTAGGATTTTGACTAAGTTTTATTTTGTTTACTAACTTTTGCTACTTTTCTTTGTGTTGGTTTTAGGTGTATGCATAATCGCAGTACCAGAAGCAACAAAGAGAAAGAGTTTGTGACTTTAAGCATTGACAAACTCGCTAAGTTGGAAAGAACCATCAGGAAAGCTAAGAAGCAATCTACAATGGTTGTTCCGATTGTCTTGGTCGAAGATGCAGAAGGTCACTTGATTGACAGAGATGAAAACAGTAAGAACGAAGAAGGGCAGAGACTGGATCATAATGGAAATGTTATAGTTGAACAGGTGGTTCAACAAGCTGTGAATGATGCTGAAAACACTGCTGGGCGTTTTGTTCAGCGCACTCTAGGAGATTACAACATACCTGACCAGTTTTATGCCAACAGAGCTGCAATCCGCCCCCCCTGCATTCCAGAGAAACGATTTTGAGCTCAAGCCTGCCTATTATCAGCTTGTGGGTCAGCATCCTTTTCATGGCTTGCCACATGAGCATCCTATGGACCACATAAAGAGGATTGAGGATTTAGCTACAAGCATCAAGGCTAACGTAGTCAGCAATGACTTCCTGTTCTGCAAGCTGTTCCCCTACTCTCTTGGAGGAGATGCAGCTTACTGGCTGAAGCAACTTGAGCCTAGATCGTTGACTACTTGTGAAGACACCAAGAACACTTTTCTCAACAACTTCTATGATGATGCAAGGTCAGAAGAGTTGAGAACGACAATTACTTCATTCTCCCAAGGACCCACTGAGACTTTTAAGGCTTCCTGGTTGAGATTCAGGTCTTATCAGAGGGAATGTCCTCATCATGGTTTCAATCAGGTGCAGCTGCTTGGCATCTTTTTTAGAGGTATTGACTGGAAATATCAGATGGCGCTGGATGCTGCTAGCAATGGAAACTTCAACACCAGGATTCCAGAAAATGCAATCACTTTGATTGAAAACTTGGCATCCAGTAACAGCACCAATAATGCTGATTTTCTAAGGATGAAACAAGCTGGTGTGAATGATGGAAACCAAATCGATGAGGTCAAGGCTAAGTTCGACATCATGCATAACCTTCTGGTGGGAAAGAAATCAGTCCAGTTTGCTGCAGAGGTGGAGACTTTCAAAAATCTTGAAGAGTCTGAGCAAGAGGATGTTAATTTTATCAATGTAGGAGGATTTCAGAGTCAAAGGTTTGGGAATCAGCAATGGAACAGAGGTTACAATGGCAATAATCAAAAGAGCACCTTCACAGGATACCAGAATTCTTCTGGTTATACTCCAAAGCCACAGTTCCAGAAGCGTGAGTTTCATAAACCATACCAACAACAGCAACTTAACAGGAACTATAGTTCTTCTTCCTATCAAACTGCACCTGCACAAGACAATAAGATGGAAGCTATGTTGGAACAGATCCTAGAAGAACATCAGAAGATGATTGTGGACTTTAATGGAAAGATGAATTCGCTGTACCAGGACCTGAATGGAGAAATTGAGAGTTTGAACTCTCACATGAAGAAGCTGGATGTTCAAGTTGCTCAAACTGCATGAGTTGTTCAAAGGCAAGAGGAATTCCTTCCTGGAAGGACAGACACTAATCCCAAGCAGCATGTGAATACCATCCCACTGAGGAGTGGAAGAAACCTTCAACCAGTGTTGAAGAAGGGTTTGAGTGCAGAGGAAATCGTGGAACTTGAAGAAGTTGAGGATGATGAAATTCATGCTGAGAACGCAACAGTGACGATCGTCACCCCTGATAGGTGTCGCTCGTCACCAATATCACAAAGAGAAAATTTATGGTTTTACGGAGTGGTGAAGAGAGGAGTCGTCACCCAGGACTCGTCACCGATCAATGACGATCGTCACTAGGAGGGTGACGCTCATCACCAACCTCGAGACAAGGATATTTCGCCTGAAACTGCATATAATGGCAAGGAGAAGGTGTATAAGCCTAAGATACCCTATCCAAAGCATCCTAAGAAGTCTAAACAGGAGCTTGAAGATGCTAAATGCAAAGCTATCATGGACAAGCTGGTGAATGAAATCCCCTTGATAGATGCTGTGAGGATAACTCTTGTGATTAAGAGATATGTGAAGAGAATGGTCACCAACAACTTGAGTCTGGAACAGAGAGTCATGATGATCAACGAACAGGTCTACAGTGATTCAGAACAGAGTACCTGAGAACCTTTCAGACCCTGGAAGCTTTGTTTTAGACTGCACCATCTTTTCAGACAGGTTTGAAAGATCATTGTGTGATCTTGGTTCTAGTGTGAACTTGATGCCTCATTCTGTTGCCAAGAGCCTAGGGATTCCAGGGCGGAAGCTGATCCGGGTCCCATCGGCTGGGTAGTAGGTACGTTTGATCCTGCAAACACTACACAAAAGGTTAATCGGGCCTTCAAGAAGACTGAAAGGGGGTTTCTCTCTTGAAGGTTCTCCGACGCCCAAATCAATGAACGCCCTACCGGGAACGAGTACTCAGGAGTGTGTTTCTACGGGTCCGGGTGAGAAGTCTCGTCCAGGAACGAGACATCTGTCTGTTCATGAGTGTTTTGAGGGGGGTTCAATACTAAAGGAGAAGATTCAGCGAGTATAAAGGCAGGGTTCCGGGTTAAAAAGAGCTTATCCTGGATGGTATTTTCTCGAGGGAACGGGGAGGTTCTCTTTTGATTCTTCTGTTCGTCGGAGAAAGTCGGTGCGGGGTAATCGGACCTGTGCTCCTTCGGTTCTCTTCCAGTCCGCCAGCCAATCCCTTTCTTGTGTGGGGGTCTCTCTTCTTTTATACTGGACTTCTCTTTATCATGTCCTCTCTATCTGGTGCGTCAGGGGAGCAGGTGGGTTAATGATTCATGTGTGTTTGGGAAAGCTCGCCAACTGCTCGGGAACAGTGCATGTGAGTGGTTTGGCCGAGCCAATATGGTGTGTATTAGTGTTTAAGGCAGTTCAACGTCCACATGTCGCACCCACCTTGGGTGCGATAAAATCGGTCCCTACACTTGTATATACATGCAGAAATATACATATTTATTTCTTTTTAAAATTCAATCATATATTATAAAATATATATTTTATTTTTTTAACACATAAAAGTTATACTTTCATTTTTCCACAAATATGCTTGTGGATATGAATTTTAATTGCACAAAAATCAAAGTCGCATGCAAACTTATTGTACATGAAAGTATAGTATAGATAATATTTTAAATAAATATTTTAATAACTTAATTATTATTTATAAATTTTTTACATTTGTAATTATATGTCACTGTAAACCTTGAAAAAATAAAAACAAAATTAAATAAATCAATATTAAAAGGCACATAATAATATGAAACGTTTGTATAATTGTTATTAAACACTAAACTGCATCTATATACAAATATAATGTTTGTAGAATGTATGAAAAAACTAATCAACAGTTAAATATTAAAACTAACTATATCTATGGAAAAATGACATATGCACATACATGTAAACCATCCATCTACTTAATCGATATACAGTAAACCTTTTATAAATTATTAATATTAGAAATATAAAATTTTATTAATTTATAGAATTATTAATTGATAAATAAATTAATAATTTATCAATAAATTAATATTTTGTTAACTTATTTTGATATTTTCTGTAAGGATTTTTAATGTTCATCAAAATACAAAAAAAAAGTTTTCAATAATATAAAATTCATTCAAAAAATACTATATCAGTAAATTTCAAAGACAAATCAAACAATATTTATAAACTTGAAACAACAATATAATCATATATTATTATATTATAATATTTACATATACATAAATGTATATTTTTATATAGGACTTTTCAAAGAAAAATTATCTTATTATTATCAAAATTTTCTAATTTTTTATATTGGTCTGATTTAAAAAAACAAAATTTATAGTAATAATTATTAGATTATGGAATATTAATTTATAGAGATTCTATTGTATATAGAGTTGGTTTAATATATGTTTGAGGCTTTGGTTTAGACCATATCAGTTTGTATAAACTCTCAATTGTACATTTTTAATTAATTAAGGAAAATGAGGTTATCCAGTTATAATTTACTTCTTCTCTTCGGTTGATTTTAGCTTTAGACTGGGAGGCATTTTTGCTCTAGAAATACTTGTCTACATTTTCATATTCAGTTACACCACCGGTCCACCGTGATAAAGCTATTAGAGCATGTGTAATGCAAAAACCTCTAATAGAACTCTTACTTAGGCTCTAATTGGTGACATAAGGAATGGAAATGAATACTACATTCCTTATCATTCCTTAAAAATTATACTATTTAAAAGGAATATATTGTACACATGATTCCTTTTCATTCCTTATGTTTTAAGGAACTATAATGTTAATTTATTCCTTATAAAAAATGAGAAGGAACAATAATTCCTATAATTTTGTTCCTTTCATTCATTTTCCTATTCATTCCTATTATTACTTTTATGGTCACCAGTTAAAGTCTTAATATTTAATTATAAAATTTATACTAAGAATCTTTATTAAGATATTTGTGTTTTCTCTCTTTCAATGGTAATCCCATCAAGGGTTCTTAAAAAAAATTGTAACAAAAGTTTATATTTTGAATAAAACATAAAAGAGGAATTGAGTTTATTATGGAAAAGTGAAAACTAAAAAAATCAAGCCGAACAAAACCAAAGTAGATAATTCGTAGTTTATACTAACTCACATATGCTTAAGACCAAAAACCATATTCCTTAATGACTCAGGCAGAAGCAGTAGTCACGTCTTATACAGACATACGCCAAGCGTACTCGCGAGCTCCGTTGGTGGTGCAACGACAAGTCTCGACCTGATCTCAAGTATGCATTTGTCTACCAATTCAATGGCTTCTTCAACGGACACATTGCGGTAATGTATGTCCATTGTTGCGAGAGAGAAGTACGAGCCGTAACCGAAAGCTCCCTTTTCTACCTTGTGAAGAGTTGCGATGTAGTCAATGTAGTATAGAGATGCGCCCGCTTCTTTGTCGTAGCCAGCCATTAGGATGTTCACAGAGTATGGATTCTGTAATCAAAAAGAACAAATAGCAATCAGAAAATGGAATACAGAGTTTCTATCATTGGCATTTTCAGTGTCTATTAGGAATCTTAAGCAAAATCCACTTGGGTTTATCAGTATATAATACCCATCAACAATGTACATGAGTTGAAAGATTCTACACTATATATGTCTACATAACGAAACTATAGGTGTTTCTTTTAACTCGCATCCAAATAGATTTTGAGGTAATGATATTGATAACACAATAGGAGAACTTAACTCCATAACTTAAAACTCATGGTTCGAATCTCAGAACTACTTGAATTAACAATAATGTTACACTATCTGGTAGAAGAGGAAGTGAAACCACGGGCATGACAGAGGAAAGTTTCAATCCACAATAATACACAAGTTCAACTAAATTGTATCAAAAGAGAAACAAACCAAGAATCATCAAAGTATTTATCACCTCCAACACCAAATAGTTGCTCAATCAATCTATTATCTGCTGATTTGATATTCTAAAAACCCATCATCTCATAAAAGCATCTGACGCGAAGAAACTATAGTTCCTAATTCCTAAAGCTCAAATCACAATTCCAAATTCTAAAAATTCCGAAAATGAAGAGAAATGGAGTAACCACCTTTAGAGATCTGATCTCTAGCGAATTTGAGGTGAGAGATGAAGGGTTCGAAAATCCCAGAAGCCAATTTCTCCTTCTTACTCCCACAGAAAATCACCAGATCAAATCTTTTAAAATCCAACACACAAAAACATTGTTCAAGAGTTTATTGGATAGGAAAGTTTTAAAAATACACTTTTTATTGTACCACTGTTCAATAATACTACAACAAGGTGAACATTTTTATGAATACAATTATTTAACTATTAAAATGATAAATTTATCCTTAGGTCATCAGAAATCAAAATTTATCAGCGAGTCGAGAGAGAGAGAGTTGGCGAAAAACGATCAGTGAATCGTGATCAGAAAATTCTGATCAGGAGTCCAGAGAGAGAGAGAGAGAGAGAGAGAGAGAGAGAGAGAGAGAGAGAGAGAGAGAGAGAGAGAGAGAGAGAGAGAGAGAGAGAGAGAGAGAGAGAGAGTTGGAGAAATTATCCATAGGTCATTCACAATACTTTTCTTCGCGAGTCGAGAGACTTGGCGAAAAAACTATCCGCGAATCGTGATCGGAAATTTCAGATTTGTTTTACTCGGAAAAAGGTATGTGATTCGTTATTTTATTCATTTAAACTGTGATTTGTTTCGCTAAATCCATTGTTGTTACGATTTTGAAGATTTGTGATTCGCGAATTGTGAATCACGAATTTGTTTTGGCTAAATTTGTGATTTGTTTCACTGTAGTTACCGATTTTGAAAGATATGTAATTCGTGGATTGTGAATCACCAATTTGTTTATCGTTGCAATTCCGATTAGTTTCACTAACTCCTTTGTGGTTGTCTATTTATAAAGATTTCTAAGCCTTTATAAATCTCTCTCTCTCTCTCTCTATATATATATATATATATATATCTTTCCCTATGTCCCCAGTTTCCTATCATTTCACCGGTTTTGAAAAACATCATACGAGTATCATTTAGCCAAAAGTTTGCCTTTGTTTCTTTGTTTTTGATTCTCGGTGATTTTATTTATCTTGTTTCGAATAGATAATAACAATGTTCCATTTAATTTACATTCGAATGTACTTCAAGTTTTGATTTAAAACAGATTGTTATTGTAAAACTTTGCAGATGATGGATGAAGAATTCGATACAACACTGAAATTGCCTGCACGGATATATGAACCCGAGACTGAACCAAATAACACCATTGTAGTCCTGCAACATTCGAACCTACTCTATGTGGATAAAATCACAAAGTTTTTAGGAGATTGGGAGTTGCGTATGATCGAAAGCTCTTATCTCAACCCGATTGTTAAACTCGCAAGGAGAGAGGACATTCAGTTTTCTGCAAAGATCTTCCACTTCCTGATGCAAAGAAGAATTTTGACACAAGGACAAAACTTGTAATTTGCATTTGCAGACCAGCCGATGAGATTTTCACTCAGGGAATATTTCCTAACCACAGGCTTGCGTTGTTGTGAACGAGAGGAGAACCCAAACCAAACAACAGGACCATCACACGTTAAGGATTCCAGAAGAAAACGAAGTAGATGGCAAGCGATCAGAGGTAAAAAATAGACAGTATAAAAATATTTATAAAGATGTTTGATTCTGACGATAGAGCATTGTTTGATTCTTTTTTTATAGGAAAATGAAAATGTTTCTGAAGATGGCATGCAGAAAGATACAGAATCAGAGAATTCTCGGTGTGAAGCAAATTCAGATGACAGTTATGCTGCCGATGATGATAATACACAAAAACATGGTGTTGTTGAAGAAACAGCTGATTTTGTTGGTGGTGTTAATGGTAAAAATGCTAGTTCTGTTGGTATGGGCGATGAAGTAACAGAAGTTTTGGTTCAAGAAACACAAGATCTTGGCGGCGAGGAAACTACAACCGTTGTTGAAGGTAATGATGATTCATCTTTACTCCTTGTTTGAATCCAAAAATTAATTTCTTATAATGCTTAATGGTTTATGTTCTTCTGTTGGATTCAATGAAGATACATAAGTTATTTTTCAAAGTACCCAAAAATTGGCGACGATGAAGCTTCAAATGGCTGTAATAATGATATATCTCGTACGGCAACTGCAGATTGTGGTGAGAAAAAAAACCCCCGAGGTAAAGTAGAAACGCTAGTCTGTTATATTTTTTTAACTTAAGCTTGCGTTCCATTGATAAATAGAGTGCTATATCTCATCTCTGTTGTTATGCTTGTATAGGTTTCATCGCCTATTACACCAAAATTCAATTTTTTTTCCCAAGACAGTTTACAAAACAGCATAAATAATGACAATTGAGGTGATACTAGCAGACACAAAGCTGATGACAAAGACAATGAGGAGGTAATTGAAGACTTTTTACCAAATTATTCCTGGGATTTATTCAACTAGTATTGCTGATTCTAAAGTTTGGAAAACTCTCAATTTTGACTAGGGTATTGAAGCAAATGTAACAAATTCTCAAAGAGGTTTATTCGGTTTACAAAGTGTGACAAAAAATAAGAAACGAGCTGCAGAAGGATACACAGAGGTAAACGACTTGATTCCCTGTATAATATGATTAAGTTACAAGTTTTTCCAGATTTTTAAACATCGAAATGGTTTGTGCATTTTAGGAAGTTGAACCAATATCTAAAAAGAAGAAACATAAAGCATCTAGGAAACGTCAAGCAGATGGAGTGCCAGCAAGAAGAAACTAAAGAGGACAGGTGCCTTCGATTCTTACACAATCACCTTACACGGGAGCAAGGAAAAGACATCCATTAATTCATCCTTTTGAGCCGGTTGATAAGATGCGAATTGAGAAAATAAAGGAACGGAAACAGTCAAATTTGTAAGCATAGTTTTCGTAAGCTATATAAAAGATGTGATGCCATATTTATAACAAATACTGTCTACTCTTAATACATGCCACTGAAAATTAATGACATCACCATAGATCCAAAGTGGATTACCACGCTGGAGACAGCAGGAAATGCTTTTACGAAAGCGGTAAGTTTATAGACATTTTAGTCCTGCGAAAAAATGTTTTCTCTTGAAATTTGGAGCATCTTACAAATTGTCTGTTTTTGTCTTATAGCATATGGAAGCAGCTTTGGAGTTATTGAGGATGCGAAAGAAACAAACTCCTCATTTGTTTTTGAACAAAAGTGCTTTGATGGTTGGTGAATCGTTCTTGAAAGCAATAGACGAGATTTATGATATTTTTGCAGATGACAAGGACGGGTTTCAATTCGGGACTGAATTAACTAGTCATGGCATAGAGAAAAACATCCGCATAATCTATGCACCGTTGAGGATCAAGTATAAATGCTGGATTGCATTGATCTTTCATCTTGAGAAGAGAAAGATAACCGTACTGAACTGTGCAGCATCAAAGAATTCGGAAGAACAGGTCAATACATACATTGGCGCGTATGCACACACAATTCCTTACATCATTCGCCAAATTACCAAGGATGACACGATGGTTACCTCTCCATTCAGTATACAAATAGAGTCAAAAGAATTACCACAGGTTAAGTGTTTGTTTAAAAATAAATGTCATCATGTTTCCATAAACTTTTGAATATGGCGTTATAATTATTTGTCTTCTTTTTTGTATCAGGTTGCTAAAATAGCAGAGACAGGCATTTTCGTATTGAAATTAATAGAGTGTCACTCGATGCGCATCAAGGACTTGACGAAGCTTTCTGAAGAAAACATCGGGGATATAAGATTGAAGCTTGTTGCTGATCTCTTCTCAGAGTTATTAGCACCGTAATTTGACAAGTAAGGTAAAAAACGAGAGAATGAGCAAGGATGCATAGAGGAGCAGAAAAGAGACATTCCCTTTCTTGTTTGAAATCATTAGTTTGATTTTTTTCTTATTAAGCTAGACTGCAATATCAAAATTTATGGTTAATAGAGTCCAGTGGTCATTGCTTCAATGTGTAAGTTTGATGGTGTGTGGAACATTACGCCACTCAGACGACACAAAAAACATTGTTGTTTAGTTATCCATTTTATAAAGGTTTTTAAATATCATTTTCAATCTTTATAAATCTTTATAAATTTTGTTGGATGACATTTAAAAGATGTTTTATAATGCTTATGAAAAGATATTCAAACAGTCAAGACCAACGGTTGCTCGAACCAGGGTGCTGATGGTAAGGAAGAGGGCGTGTGTAACCCCCAAGGCTGTGGTGTTTTAACTGTCAATGACTCGAGTGTAAAAGATAATATAGAAAAATATGTACTGTTTGAAATGTAGGCGCAAACATGGGCCCAAGAAATACCAAAAATTGCTTTTATAAAGATTTATAAAGTTTTTTTTGTTGAGATTTAAAACATGTTTTAAAATGATTATAAAAAGATTTCTAAACAGTAAAGACCCACGGTTGCTCGAACCAGGGTGCTGATGGTAAGGAAGAGGGCATTGTGTAACCCCCAAGGCTGTGGTGTTTTGATTGTCAATGACTCGTGCGTAAAAGATAATATAGAGAGTATCTATTGTTTGAAATGTAGGCCCAAACACGGGCCCAAGAAAAATCCAAAAAATTGCTTTTATAAAGATTTAAAAGATGTTTTAAAATGATTATAAAAAGATTTTCAAACAGTCGAGACCCACGGTTGCTTGAACCAGGGTGCTGATGGTAAGGAAGAGGGCGAGTGTAACCCCCAAGGCTGTGGTGTTTTAACTGTCAATAACTCGAGCATAAAAGATAATATAGAGAATATGTACTGTTTGAAATGTAGGTCCAAACACGTGCCCAAGAAAAATCCAAAAATTAAAGCACGGGCCCTGACATGGTTATAAAGATTTATAAAGTTTTTTGTTGAGATTTAAAAGATGTTTTAAAATGCTTATAAAAAGATTTTCGAACAGTCGAGACCCACGCTTGCTCGAACCTGGGTGCTGATGGTAAGGAAGAGGGCGTGTGTAACCCCCAAGGATGTGGTGTTTTAATTGTCAATGACTCGAGCATAAGAGATTATATAGAGAATATATACTGTTTGAAATGTAGCCCCAAACACGGACCCAAGAAAAATCCAAAAACTGCTTTTATAAAAGATCTATAAAGTTTTGTGTTGAGATTTAAAAGATGTTTTAAAATACTTATAAAAAGATTTTCAAACAGTCGGGACCAACGGTTGCTCGAACCAAGGAGCTGATGGTAAGGAGGAGGGCGTGTGTAACCCCGGTTGTGGTGTTTTAATTGTCAATGACTCGAGCAAAAAATATAATATAGATAATATGTACTGTTTGAAATATAGGCCAAAACACGGGCCCAAGAAAGATCCAAAATTTGCTTTTATAAAAGATTATTTATAAAAAAAAATTAATTCCTTATCTGAAACCCCCACACCCCATCGTGTGTACGTATGGCTTAACTTTTTTGCCAAAAGTAAGAAAAAGCCAAAAATTTTCCCCTTCTTAGCCAAACGTATCTCAGATAATCTGTAAAAATCTACAAAGGTTTATTCTATCGCTCTTAGTCTCCTTCTCACTCTCGCTCTCATTCTTTTGCGCTATATATTTGTCTGTCTTTCGCTCTTTCTCTCTCTCTTTCCCGGAAAACCTAGTTTCGTAGTTGAGATTTAATTTTATTGTATTGTGAGCACAGATTTATGATAAATTGTAAGGCTTTATGAATATATGTTCACCAATTTTGCGTCAATTTGCTCGGTTTTTAGTTCTGGGTAAATTAAAAAATAAAGTTTTTAGTCGCAAAAAATGTTGGGTTTTTTCCATATGTTTCAATTGGCTAACAGTTTAGTGTGTAGAATCCTTTTGAAGTGATTGATTAAGCAAACTAAGTTTGGTTTTAAATGGAATATGATTCCTTTATATTATTCCGTTTGCTCTAATATTGCTTTTATAAAACTTTTGCAGATGATGGAAGATGAAATGCATACGACACTGAAATTGCCTCCAAGGATATATAAGTCTGGGACTGAACCAGACAAAGTGGGTGTAATTATACAACACTCGAGTTTCAACTTGGTGCAAAGAGTCGAAAAGGTGTTAGGAAAAACACTCTTCGCCAAAATCGAAAACTCTTATCTCAGCTCGATTGTCAAGCTCTCAAGGAGAGACGACATTCAGTTTTCTGGAAAGATCTTCCACTTCCTTATACAAAGAAGATTTTTTGACAGAAGGAGAAGACTTGTGGTTTGCATTTGCAGACCAGCCGATGAGATTTTCTCTAAGAGAGTTTTATCTAATCACAGGATTGCATTGTTGGGAGCCAGAACCAGAAGAACTCGAACCCAAACAAAACCCAACACACAGGTTTGTGAGAAAGGCTTATCTTTGGATGTTGGGGAAAAAGGATAAGTACACTGTGAAAGGTTTGATGCAGCTGCTGGAAACAATGCGAACAGAATGTCTGCTGAGGAGAAACTTTCTCTTGGAGCTGCTATATTGACTCATGGGATTATAATCGCCAAGAATCCAACAATAAAGGTGCCGCGAGAGAGTCTGCAAATGTTTTCGAATTTAGATAGTTACTCTGTGAGACCTTGGGGGAAGATGGGATACGTGGTCCTATCTGCTAGTATACGGAGGATGAAAGCAAAAACATTTGCAAAACCTATGTATGAAGTGCAAGGATTCGTATGTGCAATCACGTTGTGGGCTTTGTCGGCTGTGCCAGCGCTAGGTACTACATTTGGGAGTCAATTTGATTCAAGCTCGTCTACAGGCCCATTGTGTTTACAGTGGAAAGCCACTTGGACTCCTAATATTTCAGAAGTTTTGAATGTGCACTATCAACGGGATGTAAGTTTCGTGTTGTGCAATTTTTTTATATTGCTTACTTTGGTTTAGTTAAACTCTTATAAATATATTTGCTATGCAATTGCAGGTTATAATCAATACTGTTATTGGGGATCCAGAGGAATATAAAAATCTGGTTCCACCGACAAATCCCATTGACAAAGACTTTGCAACGGTGGTGCAACTTGTAATGCAAGGCTATAGGTTAAGCAGATCCGAGTGGATAGAGGGAAAATTAGATGGTGTTTTAGCATCTGAACAAATTCGGACAAAACATAACAGACGAGCGGAGCTTAGTAGAACAACACGTGAGGCTCCTCTCGTGACTGACAGTGACAAAATTGACAAGATGATGGAGATGCTTAAAACCTTGATTGGCAAAGTGGAGACCATAGAGGCTTTAGTGGGGATTAGGCAGCATAGGTAAAAAAAAAGCATCTATTAAACCCGTTTAAAATGTTCAGTTAGTTTTCGGGCTTTGACAATATGTTTTATGATTTATAGAAAAAAAGATCCTATAGATGGTGAGGATAACAATGATCCAAAAGATCCTGAAGATGGTGAGGATAACAATGATGGAAAAGATCCTGAAGATGGTCAGGACAACAATGCTGCAAAAGATCCTGGAGATGATGTTATTGATATTAGCGATAGAGAAGGTAATGTTGGAGATCATGATGAGGATAAGAATGATACAAATGGTAATGATGGAGATCGTACTAGCAATGTTGATGCGCCTATTGATATCAGCGATATTGATGAAAATCATGGTGGCGACGGTGAGGCTACCAATATTGTTGTTGGTAATAATAATGTATGTCATGTGAATATGTTATTTTATAAAACCGACTTTAAAAACACGCAAATTTGTTCTTGTTTTGTTGTACAGAAAATCCCAAAGATGATGAAGGTGATGAAAGTCATGATTCCAACCACCATGGATTTGCTTTGCGACCACCACTGACAGATGAAGATGTTACCGTTCAGTTGGAACAAGGTGGAGCTCATCCAATATTCCATCCGTTCCAGCCATATCTTCTATCAAGGAAATCAAGATTGGATGAATGGAAGAATGCAACTAACCAGAAGTAAGTAAAGTTTTCATATATGTTTAGCTTAGTAATATGGAGAGATTTACAAATATCTTTTGAAATGTAGGATCTTGAAAGATTTTCTTGGACATGAAGTAAATGGTGATTGGTTTTTAAACCTCCAGACACCAGGAACTGTAATGACTAGACAGGTAAAACTAGAGTTTGAAATCTCATTTAAACTAGAAGTAAATGGTTTCAATTTTCTAAACATTTGCAGGGTGTGTCATAATTCTTTTTGCTTGTGAAATAAATTTATTGCAATCTCATTGACTCTATTATCTTTGATAGTACGCATTTATAGTTTAAAAGTAAAAAAGTTAAATTTTTGTTTTATTGCAGCATATGGAGTATGCTATGCATTTTCTTTGAACAAGGAGAAAAAATAGTCCCAAATTTTTTGCAAACAGTAGAGTTGCCATCTATGGAGAACATTTCCTTTTGACACTCAAAAAATGCTGGGAAAGATGGCGGTGGAGTCAGAAGTGGTACAACTATGACAACAAAAGCATTGAAGGCTACATCAATGGTACATTGCCGGATATTGGCAATACAGGGAAAAAGATGATTAAAGACACAGACTATGTCTATGCGCCAAAATGTTGGCATGACAAACAGTGGGTTGCCGTGATATTTGACTTGAAGATAGGGTCGGTAAGCATATGGGACAGCGATAGATACGCAGACAGATAATCAGATTATGAGACTTCGGCAATCCCATATGCACAAATAATGCCTCTGCTTTTGAAGAAGTTTGTAAAAGGTGCGAGATATTCCAAATAATTCACTATTAAAAAGCAACCAAGAATACTCAAGGTATGTTACTCAAAAAACGACTATGTTTTCTATAAGTTTTTGGCTGACTAATCACAAATGTTTTACTTTAGATAAGCAATTTCCAGGACACAGGTTTATATACTTTCAAGTTCATAGAGTGCCATGCGAGTATGATGACAGACATGTCTAGTCTCTGCCTTGCAAATATTGAACAACTGAGATTTAAGCTGGCGGTTGACTTATTTTGCGAGGTATTTGATGGACCTTCTTCAGATAACCAACTCAACGATGCAGCTGCAGATGAGTTACCACTTGAGTCGCCTAGTGAGAGCAAAAAGTCAAAGAGAAAACTGAAAGGGGATGATTGTAGAAGCTCTATGAGAAACAAAAAGGCTAGAGTATGAAACTGTTTCACCTCGTTTGTTTTAAAATTTCTTCAGCTCAAAAACTTGTAAGCTTCTTCTTTGGTTTTTTCCTCTCTTTTTCTGGCCATGTAATGGCTTTTGAAGCAGACACTTCACTTTCTGTATCTTTAATTTTTGCTTTATTAAATATTTATAAATTAGCTTTTGAATCTTTGTAAAGATTTATAAAGATTTAAAAGATGTTTTAAAATGTTTGGGGGTTAAAATACGCTCGAGACAACCCCGAAGGCTGTGGATTGAATCACATATAACAAAATAGAATTATGTGAACCCCGTTTTGCTCGAACCAGTGTACTAATGGTAAACTAGAGGGAGTGTGTAACCTCCAAGGCTGTGGTGTTTTAATTGTCATAGCCTCTAGTGTAATTACTTATAAAGAGAATACACTTTGGAAAATTTTTATATTGCTCTGGTTATGATGCAGGCCCAAACACGGGCCCAAAAAATCTAAGACGCTCTTGTAGATTGTAAATTATAATTTATAAAAGATTTAAAAGAAGTTTTAAAAAGTAATTCTTCATGTTGAAAGCCTAATTGTGTTTTGTCGAACATGATGGATTATATCAACGATGTTAAAGGATTTATAAATAATCTTTTAAATCCTTATAAATTTGGTGGTGTAATTTATAAATGATTTAAAAGAAGTTTTAAATGTTTATTAAAACTGTTTTGGGTGCTCGAACCAGAAAACTGAAAGTAAACTAGAGGGCGGTTGTAACCCCAAAGACTGTGGTGTTTTAATTGTCATATCAGTGATTGTAATTGTTTATAAAGAATATATGTTTGTAAAAATATAAAAAAATCCCCATTGATTCCTCATCGAGAGAACTGACACCATATCGATAAGAGGTAATCGTTTTATTTATTTATTTATTTATTTGCATTGAAACAATCAATTTCTTCTCTTATCATCTAGGGAAGATATACAACTTTATCTGGTGTTTGGTGGCGTTTGCACTGCTTCGTCCCTTAACGCACCGCTTCATCCCTTGTTTATATATATTATGATTCCCCATTATTTCATTTCGCCACCACTGTTTCCACAGATAACAATGGCGACTTCGACCGCTTTTAAAGATCTCCAGATGGCTGCCAGGTAAACTAAAAACCGTCCTTCTGACTTTTTTTCAGCAGGTTTGGTTAAAAAATGTTTAATATAGAATATAAGTTATATTTGGTGCTTTGGGTTTGGATTTGTGTTTTGATTTCTTTAGATAGATGCGATTTTGAAGTTTTCTTTGTGTATTTTTAGTTGTTGGGTTCACTTACATTGGTTTGTACCCATTCAAATCTAGTGGGTTAGTGATGACTTTATGTGTATTTTCTCTCCGTCTCTGTATAAAAATAATTTTATGGCATGTTCTCTCATTATAGATTTGAGAAAACCCCAAATTTTTATGATCGAGACAGAAAAAACGTGAAGATTGTGTTGTTGAAAACTTTCATTCAAATCTTATTGTTGTAGATCATTAATCCTTTAGAGATGTTTTGCTTAGGTCCGGTGGATGACAACCTCTTCGAATTGGAGGCTGCAATTAAGGGACCAAAATATAGCCCTTATGGTGCAGGAACATTCCGTGTAAGCATGCATTTTTCCCCACGGTTTCCAATGATAGCTTCAACTGTAATTTTTTCATACTAACTCTTGCTCTTAAGCAACAACTGCTTATGTCTATGTCTAAATCTTATGGGATCCTCAATTATTCAGGTCAAATTCAAAACCAAGGTGTTCCACCCCAATGTTTATGACAAAGGAGATGTGTATCTTTACATGCTGGACAATGGATGGGCTCCTGGTTTCACAATTCCTGATGTTTGTGTTTTATCTTCTATTCGTATAATTTAACTTTAATACCAGCAATGAAGTATATTTATTAAAGAAACTTTCTTATTTTCTGGAAATAAATCCTAATGGCGCTCTCGGGAATGCTCCTTACCCCAAGATTAAAGCTTCCTGATAAGGTGAATGATAATACTCTGGAGTATGTCTCTAACAGGGAGAAGTTCAATAGAAAAGCTGCTGAGTGGACGCTATTATATGCTAGGAATTAAGGAGTTCGTTTGTTTTATGACCACAATGCTATCTATGTTGTAATAAACTTTCAAACATCATAGTGATGTTTGAAAAATTTCTAAACTGCATCGTACTTTACTTTTTTTTTTAATTATGAATAAATCAATTCCGTTGGTGCACTATTAATGCGGATGTGCTTCTAAATTGTTACTTGTAATGCTGATTTAAGAACGTTTTTAAAACCATTTAAAAAGGCTTATAAAACCATCCACAAAATTTTTTATATCCCTAGTTGCTCGAACCATGAAATGAATGTAGTCGATGAGGCTGAGTAACCAGTCTGTTATGCTTTAAAAATATTTTCTAAAGATTTAAAAGAAGTTTAAAAAGATTTATAAAAAAAGATAAAATAAAATGTAGAGAATACCAACTGTTTGAAATGTAGGTCCAAACACGGGCCCAAGAAAAATCCATAAAAATGCTTTTATAAAGATTTATAAAGTTTTTGTTGAGATTTAAAAGATATTTTAAAATGATTATAAAAAGATTTTCAAACAGTCGAGACCCACGATTGCTCGAACCAGGGTGCTGATGGTAAGGAAGAGGGCGTTGTGTAACCCCCAAGGCTGTGGTGTTTTAATTATCAATGACTCGAGCGTAAAAGGGAATATAGAGAGTATGTACTGTTTGAAATGTAGGCCCAAACACGGGCCCAAGAAAAATCCAAAAGATTGCTTTTATAAAGATTTATAAAATTTTTGTTGAGATTTAAAAGATGTTTTAAAATGATTATAAAAAGATTTAAAAACAGTCGAGACCCACAATTGCTCGAACCAGGGTGCTGATGGTAAGGAAGAGGGCGTGGGTAACCCCCAAGGTTGTGGTGTTTTAATTGTCAATGACTCGAGCGTAAAAGGTAATATAGAGAATATCTACTGTTTGAAATGTAGGCCCAAACACGGGCCCAAAAAAAATCCAAAAGATTGTTTTTATAAAGATTTATAAAGTTTTTGTTGAGATTTAAATGATGTTTTAAAATGATTATAAAAAGATTTTCAAACAGTCGAGACCCACGGTTGCTCGAACCAGGGTGCTGATGGTAAGGAAGAGGGCGAGTATAACCCTCAAGGCTGTGGTGTTTTAACTGTCAATAACTCGAGCATAAAAGATAATATAGAGAATATGTACTGTTTAAAATGTAGGTCCAAACACGTGCCCAAGAAAAATCCAAAAATTAAAACACGGGCCCTGACATGGTTATAAAGATTTATAAAGTTTTTTGTTGAGATTTAAAAGATGTTTTAAAATGCTTATAAAAAGATTTTTGAACAGTCGAGACCCACGGTTGCTCGAACCAGGGTGCTGATGGTAAGGAAGAGGGCGTGTGTAACCCCCAAGGATGTGGTGTTTTAATTGTCAATGACTTGAGCATAAGAGATTATATAGAGAATATATACTGTTTGAAATGTAGCCCCAAACACGGACCCAAGAGGGTGTGTGTAACCCATAAGGCTGTGGTGTTTTACTTGTTATTGCTACGAATACAGTTGTATATATTAGGTATTAAAATCTACGTTTAAAACCATTTAAAAAGGGTTATAAGAAGCTACTTAATCTTTTTAAATCTTAAAATGGGGTTTGAAATAGGGATCCCCTGTACTTATAACCAACTTTTAATGTAAAACACTGCAAGTCCTTTCATTCAAAACCTCACCAACACAAAATAACAATAATGTATAAAATGATAATGTAATAATATTATACTGTTTAATAGGAGAGTAAAATTAGATATTAGCTCAGATTGGGGCTACGCATGTAGATTTGTTGTGTCCACTCTGACCACACCTACCACATTTGTAGTTTTTTTATTTGGTACAAGACTTGCCATACTCCCAACCAGAAGGAATCCTCATTTTCTTTCGCCTCCCACTAGGGATGCGATTAGAAGGTGGAAGACAAATAAAATTAGCTACATTAGGAGGGATGTCCCAATAAGTCTTATCTCCAACAGGATACTCTCTGCATATGCTAGTATCCACCTGTGAGAAGATAATATGATTAGCTATACTGAACAATACGAAATGAATCAAGAATAAAGGCGTAGACAAAAAGAGGCAATAGTAACTTTCTTTAGAGAAACAATCATCGACATAGTTATTTTCGTTGTGTTTGGCAGCTTTGGCAGCAGCAATCGCATGACCACACGGAAATCTTTGAATATCAAACACACAACATGTGCATTGCCTTAACATCAAATTCACAACCTCCTTTCGCTTGTCACCCTTCACCTCAAACTCAAGCTGATTGATTGGACACACTTCAAGCCACTGTGATGAACTGTCATAGAATTCCTTCATTCTCTTCCCGACTTCTAATGTCACAGGGTGCGGATAACGTGAACTCATCTCATGCCTTTCCTAGAACCACCTTGTCAGTATAGACCTAATGGTGTCAAACAAGCACACTATATGGTATTCGTGAGGGATAGTTAACAAAGAGTTAAAAGATTCTGCAAGGTTTGATGTCATGATGTTATAGCGAGTGAAAGGTGCATAAGCGCGTGGCCATTTCGTGACATCAGTTTTCACCAGATAATCTGCGAGCAATGGATGAGCATTCTTGATTTCGTTGAACAGAAGATTAAAGTCATACTTCGTGTAAGCCTTGATTGCCTCCTGAACCAAAGCCAAAAGAGAAGCGTCCTTGAAGTGTGATTCCACGTTTTTCTCAAAATGAAAACTGCAGATGCCATGATGAGCCAGTGGGTAATTTATCGACTTTCGCAATAGATGGTGCACGATCTGACACAAACACTAGATCTTCCTCATCTGGAATGATAGTCTTCAGGCACCTAAAAACCACTCCCATGAAGCATCATTCTCAGAGTCAACTACCCCGAAAGCAGTGGGATATAATTGAAAGTTACCATCTTGCGCTGTGGCACCAAGCAAAGTCCCTTTAAATTTTGCCTTCAAGAAAGCACCATCGATAGCAACTACTTTCCTTAGCACCTTAAAACCTCTAATGGATGCGCCAAAGGACAAGAAAGCGTACTTGAATTTTCCAGCATTATCTACCTCAATGTAGGTTGCAGACCCGGAATTATTTTGCTTTACCATATGGAAAAAACTTGGCAGAGCTTCATAGCTATCTTCTGGAGTACCTCTAGCAATCGCTTGGGAATGTTCTTGAGCTCTCCAAGCTTTTGAATATGAGATAACGACACCATGATCCTTTCTAGATTTTTCTATTATCTGTTTAGGTCCAATCCAAGCTTCCCTCCATCGTAATGATTACTTAACATAGTACCCAAGACCTTTGCACTTGCTTGCCAATGGTTAACATGCATTAATGATGAGTCACAAGTATGCTCGTGCACATACTGCCGAACAACAAAGCTTTCGGAGCCCATAACTCTTGTTGCACGAAATCTCCAGCTACAACTTTCATCAACATAACATAGAACTTACCGTTTCCTGTCTGATAATTCAGTGCGGAACTCAAAGCTATGAAGCATCGAAAACATTCATAGCTTCGTGCCCATTTCATTTTTGTCTTTGAATAGCTTTCCATAATACACACCTTCATTATCGAAAGCAACGGATTGTGAGGAACCAGATGGAGCCGCACATCCTGGATCAAGGGATGATGACAATTGTGAAATTCCTGACATTGTACTTAAATTCGATCGTCTCTGCAGAATAGAAACATCCATATATATCAGGGATGAACAGATTATAAAACCTTTTAAGCATACCACAACTGGAAGAATGGATGGAGCAGTGAAACTCTCTTCAAACTGCAAATTTGAAAAGCCCATTGCAAGATTTTGTAAGTCCCATTGAGTACAGTATATTCATTCATAAAAATTAATTTGTAACCCATGCCAAAGCTTCATGAAAATACTTCATTGACAACAAAGTGTGGGGCAGCAAGGGCAGTAAAACTCTCATTATTTATGTGGATGTTGTTTCGAACCATGAATGAACGAGAGTTTGTTTCTCTCTGTAACATAACATTATACTTCATCAATTTGCTTTGTAATCATATAGACACAAAATAATTATACTACTTACCTCATCCATAGCACGAAGGGGGCAACGATGGGAGCTAGAAACTTCAGTAGCAGGTTCCGTACTCTTTATTTCCTTCACTGTCACGCATAACTCAAAAACGCCTCCACTCTCTTGAATCTTGTGCATAAAAGCTTCTAATTGCCGATCATTCCTAATGACCATATGAGGGAGATTTTTTTACGCCAAAAGAGAGCTTGAAAGTGATCCATAGCTAAGTTTCAGACCAATGGCATTCCCATCAATTCCAAAATCTTCTAAAACAATCGCAACCAGCTCATTGTAAGTTATATTTTCTTTGATGAGTATAAAAGAAGCTCCTCTGTCAGGATCAACAACGAACTCCCATTGTGTGGTATTAGTTAAATTCCAAGCTCCACAGACGAAGTATATCTCAAGCATTTCGCCTGATGAAAAAAATATAACAATTTATAAGGATTTACAAATTTACAAATTTATAGTCGAGAATCTAATCGGAACATCTTTTTCACAAAATTGGATACCTACTTGTCATTAAAACTTATAATCGACAACACATCATCCTTTCTCCAAAAATTTTATGCGAATGAATTATAATTTTCCAGAAAATCAACAAGTTTTTTGCAATTTGACAGAATCAGAAGGGTCATACATTTGGTCAATGAATCCAACAGAATCGCAGGCGAGAGATGATGTGATTCAGTTAGTTAGAACGAATGAATTAAAATTTCTCAGGAAATCAACAAGTTTTTTGCGATTTGACAGAATCAGAAAGATCATACCTTTGGTCAATGAATCCAACAGAATCGCCGGCGAGAGATGATGTGATTCAGTTAGAACGAAGTCGCCGGCGATTTGTATTTCGCCGATGAGATACAAATTCGGCGATCAACGATGATCGTCTATTTTATTTTTTGATATCGAAAATTTTTTTGGTTGAAAACGTGATACGGAAATATGATAGTCAATAAAAAATAGTATTTTTGATTGACGATAGTTTTAAAAATAATAATTAGAAAAGTGGTATTTTCAAAAATGCCCTTATTGGATTTGGGTTATAATAAAATTATTTTTCTAGTTATTTATATATATAGGAGGGAGAGGCATAAAATTTGCTTGTTTAGGTGATTCGACAAGGGAAAAAAGGGAAAACGGAGGAACAACAATGACAGGTAGAATAAGCTGCTGTATGAATCTTCCTCTCCTTGATTCCAACTCTGCACAACTATCATCTCCACTACTCAAGACAACGTCACGGATCTCTTGGTAATCTCTTTTCTTCAACAAAATCAATTTTAGAAAACTCCTTTTATTCTTGCAATTACGAATTAATTATTACGAGTTTAGTAGGAGAACAGAGGATGAAACAGAGCCACGGAAGAACAAGTGTTCTCTTGCCTTCGCCATAGCGGCGACTGTTGTGATCGGCGCGATTCAGATCAGTGACGTGGCATCGGTGGAAGCGGCGGTTGTAAAACTGCCGGTGAAAGAGATGGTTCCACGGAGGTGGAGCGACAAGAGGATGTGTCCGCCTTGGCTTCAGAATTCACTCGAGACGATTGTACCGGAAAATCTTCCTCGTCCTTCGAGTCATCGGCGTTTGGAGTTAGCCAGACTTGGTAAGCGTGATGCGCCGCTGGTCGATGCGGTGGTGACACGTGTCAATAGAACTGCTTGTTTCTCCGTGTAAATTGGAAGTTCATTACGTGTACGCGAAAGTGTTAGGTCACGTGTAAAAAAAATTAGAAACAAAATTGTAATACTATGATTGATTGTTTTTTGCTTATGTTTTAATTCGTGTTACGCGCAGTTTGTATTAATAATTTAGTTAATGTTTTGATTAATATCTTTGAAATTATTAAAATTATAATATATTTTATAGAAATTTTTTATATAAAAAATTAAAATATAATATGTAGTATTTTATATTTTTGTTTATAAAATTATAAATCTTATTAAATAAAATTATAGTAATGATTTAGAAAATAAATTTTTTACTAAATTTTTGGTGTTTTATTTTGTATTTCTAAGATTTCTATAGTTTTTTATTAAAAAAAATTATATTTTTAAATATTTAGTTTCTTTACTAAATTTCGCACTAGTGTTATATATATACATATATAATATATGATATATGTTGATTCAAATTTACTTTTGTTAGTAAGCTACACTAATCGTGTAAAACTGCTTTTTGCTTCTCCACGAGATCTTCTACGAATTTTAGATTCTATCTCTGTTTAGTTTATAAGATATGTTTTATTTGCAGTCAACTATTTGCTAATATTTGTTTTTAAAACATATAAGATGATGTTGAGACTTCATATAATCATTGTTTTTTTTATCTTTTGTGTGTTTATTCATGTTTTGATTTGAATATTTTATCTTTATATATTCACATTTGAATTTGATTCATAACTTTATTATATTATATTATTTAAATAAAATTTTAGAGGATGTTGCTCATGTGTTGTTCATGTTGACTAAGTTATAAGCAGTAAATATGTATACAAATCAGACTTTATTACTTATTATATTTTGAATGTAAAGTTACTTGTGTAGTATTTTACTTTGTTAATTTTTCAACCAGACGCAACCAAGGTATTAATCTTTGTAAATTTAAATAATATGTTTGATTTAGAAACTTGTATAACCTATTAAAACTTTCTATCAAAAGCTTATACCATCATTTCCTTTTTTTAGTTAATATTTGTTTGGTAATTAGCCTAAATATCAAGTTAATTTTACTTTATACGACTTTTTTCTTTGATAATTTACCTTTCTTGATATTGATTTTTTATTTTATTTTAACACACTATTGTTTTTAAAATATTGATATTTTGAAAACATAAATTTTTTGTTAGTTATATATTTTTATATGAATTTTTTAAGTAGTTAGTCAGATATCAACTCAATATATTTTTAAGTGTTTTTTTTAAAAAATAATATTTTGTAAAACTTAATTTTTTTTTAGTTTTTTAGTTAATTAATTTCTTAAATAATTATCTTAAATATTTATATTATTTTTGTTAGTTGAGTTTTTAAGTACTATTTAAGTTTTTTATTCTATTACTTATTCTGTTTATATTGATTTTGTTAAATAAATAACATAGATATTAAGTTAATATCTTCTTTTTTAGTTAATTTAATTTTTTCGATATGGACTTTCATTTTAATTGTATTGACATGTTGTAAGAAATAATTTATGTTTTGGTTTTTGTTAGTTAAACATTTTTTTATATTGCTTTCTTCAGTAATTAGCATAAAGTATCATTTTAGTTTGTTAAGATTTTGTGTTAATTTTTTAAATATTTCCCCAAAAATTATAATTTTTAAATGACTATCTTTTTGATAATTTAAGATGAATGTTTTTTGTTGTATTGATATTTTTAAATAACAATTTTATATGTTTATATGAAAATTTAATCTTAATATTTTTCTAAATGAATTACTCATTTAAAATATATATGCTAATTTTTTTTTAATTTAATTTTTTTCTTCATTGATTTACATATTTGTTTCTGTTAGTTTAGTTTTTGTGACAATGAATTTCCATTTTATTTTCACAATGGATTTAGAATTTTGACATAAATTTATTTTATTTAGTTAAACAATTATCTTAATTTTTTATTCTATTGTGATAATTTTATAATTTTGTATGTTTTAATTTATTCAAATTATTAATAATATTTTTTATTTTTTTATGTTTAATAAAAAACGCTGATATAGACTAAACAGATTGAGTATATATGTCCTATGTGGACGCTCTCATTGGTCTAAAACATCAACACGGACCACAACTAATATATTTTAAGTTGGAAATTCAGATTTTAATTGTTTGTCGTGATTAAAATTTTAAAATAATTTAGTTATGATTTTAAATACAGTTTTTAATAATTTTGTTTAATACATATGATTTTTCTTTCATAATCTATTTATATGTTAATTTCCTTTTTTCTATTGTTAATAGAAAAATAAGATTTATTTTCAAAACTCTTTTTATTAATAACTAACTTGAAATTTAGAAATTTTCTTAATAACAACAAAAACAAAACTAATTAAAATTTAGAAATTTTTCTTATAACAAATAAAACAAATTAATTAATTTTAATATATAATATATAATTAACTAAAAATAGTGATGATATGTACCAATAGAATTGAATATTTAAATCCTATGTGGACACCCTTAGAGGCATTTAGCATTAACTTTTATTAGTAATAGATTTATTTTAATTATTTTTAATAAAATTGACAAATTAATATAATTTAATTTTTAATTGATTTTCGTTTTGTTTTTTTAAATCTAGATTTTCAAATTCAAGTTTATATCATAAAAATATACAGTTTAATAAAAAACGGTAACTAGAATAAATAAATAAAAATCCTAATTATTTCATTAAACTAATTTTAATTTGATTGTTTAACCTATTAATATTTTGACTAACCTAATTGATTTATGTGATCATAAGTAAAACTCTGAATCATTTAAACTCTTTTAAAAGTCTATATATATTAATTAATGTTAAGTTGATATGAAACAAGGATCTTTTGGTTTTGGTCATTTTGGATTGCTATGTTATTTTTTTAATGCAAACTTTAAATTTTATTAATCTTAGTCAATCAATTTAAATAATAAAAAAAAGAATTATTGATCATATTTGATAAATGCAACAAATTAACAAAGTATACTTGTAAGTTTTCATCGGATAATATAAAAGATATTAAAGAATAAGATATAAATAATATATTTTGTTTTGTCACAAAAAATAATATACTCATAAAAATTGTATTTTTTCAAATATATTAAGTTTAGTTTCAAATCATATAAAATCTGATTTTTTTTATCTATAAATAAACTAATGTTATATTTTTTAAAAAATTTAATCGAATCCCGCATAAGGTGCGGAGAAACACCTAGTATATTTTTATTGCATAATGGATTGTAACCTACTTTTTTTTTGGGATTACGTACTTACATATAAAGTTTAATGGGTTTAGCTCATAAAATTTAATTGAAGTTTCTAATTAGTAAATATGTCAAAAGGAAATTGAATCAAAATATAAAGTTTTCGAATGGACCTATAATTTTTGTCTCTTATTCTGCTGTCCATTTCCTATATAATTTTATTTCCTACTATATTTTTGGAAGTTTTCTGTTTTGTGTGTTGGAGTAGTACTCTGTTGGATTGTGCAATCAGAGAAAGCAGTACATGCATGTAGTACAAAAGAAAAACTACAAGTACTTCCAAATAAAATGAGTCGGCCCATTATTGGTCCAGAGTGAAGCCCAGATCTAGATAATAACATTTCCGCCTCCGGTTTTATACTTTGGTTAATCCTGACTTCTTTTTCGAGAAGGATTTTGCACAAGGCTAAAAGTTAGCCTTTTGTTGTTGAATGACCAAAGATATCACAGGAGCAGGACGTGTGCCATGATGGCAAATGAAGCAGCCTGGACATAAAATGTTTATGGTAGCGCCGTCTTTTTATTTATCTTTTTTTTTTTTTTTTTCATTCTAAAAGCATCTCGATTAGCTTAGATACTCAAAAAGAGTATTTTAACTATAAATTATTAATATTATAATAAATAATTAAATTTGAAAATTTAAAATAAAAATTTAACTATTTAATGAGTAAGAGCTGAGTAGATGTACATCTTTTAAAATATTTTTAATAAAAACTGTATCTCATTTTTCTCATCTTTTCTTCTACTTTTTAATTTGTTTTACCTTTTTATTAGTTAAATACTATTTTGAGAATTTCTAAATAGAAATGTTCTAAATTACGTTTTTTAATTTAATTTTTTAATTTATTATTCAAAATCTATGTAGGATTCTAAATTTAATTCTAGTTGTATTGGGTTTAAATAATTGTACAACCAATAATTATTTAAATTCAATACTGCTAACCGTTAGAATAATTTAATTAGGTTAATCAGATTAAAGACATCTCCAATCTTACTTTATTTTCAACTCCAAATACTATTTTGGAGTAAAATGCTCTCTATCCCTACTCTATTTTCAACTCCAAAATAGAATAAACCTAAATTCTACTCCAAATATGGAGTAGATCTAAACTCTACTCTATTTTGGAGTTAAGCTTTTTTATTTACAGATTAATCCTTTAAATTTAAAATAATTATATTTTATACTATTTAATATTTATAAATATTATAAAACTAATAATTATGAATATTTAAACACTTCCATTATTCCTAGAAAAGATTGTAAAATACAATAAACATAAAAATACATAATAAGTGCTGAAATTAAGATAAACAATATAAAAATTTTAAAATAGCAAATACAATTAATGATAAAAATTTCAATAATTGTAATGTTTAAATAAAAATTGCATATGCTTTTTGTGATGTTATATAATTTTCATTATTTAATAAATATTTCATTTATAATTTTTGATTACATTGTTATCCTTCAATTATTTTCAAAATTACAGATCCAACCAATCCAAACCCACCCAAACCCAGTTCATATGGATCAACCTGGATTAAAACCTAAAAATGTAAATTTTCAGTCGTATTTTATCGGATCGATTTGCAAAAGGTTAGAACTCAAAAATGGAGAACAATTATGAGGATTCAACTCCGATTCCGGCTTTGCGACAATGATTTAAACAGAAAAACTAAGGGGAGAGAGAGAGAAGAGCAGAAGAGAGTTTGAATGTTTTTTTGTTCCTGTCTTCATCAGCTTCTGAATCGATACATTGGTTAAAAAGTCATGATTTTTTGTTTTTATTTGGGTCAACCCAGTACAATTGGAAGATTCATTTCATATGCCCCTCTAACTCAAAACCAAAATTTAAATATCGCTTTGATTTATTATTAAGTCCAAAAACAAGTAGATTACATTGTTATCCTTCAATTATTTTCAAAATTACAGATCCAACCCATCCAAACCCAGTTC